TAAAATATTTAGCTAAAAAACACTAACTGGTGTCATATGGGGAATCAAATGTTTCACTCACAGTATAGTTTAATGACACAAATATGTGTATGCATTAATAAATGTTCAGAAAAGCTAAATGACCCATAGTTTAATAAATGGTAGTTTTCATCTAACCCTACCGATGCTCAGAATGTAGTTGATTCAACATTTCTATATGGACAGTTCTAGAACTACCTTATGATGACAGCATGTTTCCTAATAAAAGCCAAACCCTAACTGTGATTGTAACAGGGACCTAACAGCCACACACAGAAAATATCCCACATTGTGAGTCTTAATCGCTCTTCCTTCGAAAGAAAAAACATACAGCTGCCCAAAAATATATGCATCAGGCATTGCCTCCATTCAGAAGTTACATTTATTGATGGTATTGGTCAATTCTAGTACTGAGTAGTTCACAAATGACTTTTTTTTATAGTCACAGGCATCTACTTTATTAGAAAAGCTGGACTATGCAGTTCAATATAGCCTGAGATCTGCCTCTGGGAAAGACATTGATTGCCACCAGTGGGGTAAAATTCCCTGAAAAAGGCCTGTGTATTTCCAGGCCTGGAGAATTTTATAATAAAACCATAGGTGCTTCTTACAATGTTCATCTATGCAGGAAATACGTTGAGGATATACAGCATAAATTACCAGGTCATCTGAAGTGTTTTTGCTGGTCTTATGCACTAGATATTTGGTCTGTGCCAGGCTGCATTTGGAAAGACAGGAAGTGATTTACAACCTGTGGTCTATCCTAATCAGCTGACTTGCGGATTCATTTGGGATGAAAATGATAGTAAGAGTCCCACCTGCACCCATTGTTCCTGGGATAGGCTCCGGTCCCAGTTAGGATTCAACTGTTTCAGAAAATGGATGGGTGGATTATTGTAGGAGACCTTGCATATTAGAGCTGAAAATATCTAATCATGATTTTTCTGATAGATATTGAGATTTGATTTGGATCCTGCAGCTTATGCTGCTTGGACCCCCAATAACCGGACCTTTCTGTAAACAATCTCTGACCATGAAATAGGTAGGTGATTCACATACAGCTCAGCAGCAGAATCAGTATTTTTACGCATGAATGTAATGTTTTCCTTGGGTTTCACGTATTTGATGTTTGTGGGCGTATACACAGTTGCCTTGGGCCAGTTCTGATTGGTGAGCATGACTGGCACACAAGGTGGATGGAATTGAATTTGTAAATCTACTCACAACAGTTTTAAACCCTGGGTCATACATGCTATATAATGCTTACCCTACAAAGCAGCCTTTGTGATTTGCTAATTGCATTGTTCAAATCCGCGATTTTGATTTGAAATTGATAAATTGTTCAGCCCTATTGTATATGATCACTGGCATCATTGACTGTTTTCTTCAGGTTGCATTTTACATGTCACAAGGAAACAAAAATGCTTTTATTTAACAGTCTAGTGGTAAACATATTTTTAAGGAAAATCCAGTGCCAAAGAGCTCTAGTTATTGTAACTGCAATGCTGATGATCATATGTGAAGTATTAGGAAATTTAGGGCACCTTCTACATAACTGATTAAAATGCACACTCATGTTGAAATTTGAAATATGGAGATAGCCGTCCTTAGAGTTCTAAACTCTGTCCTTGGATGCCAGCTTCCAAGGTTGGGAATATATTCATTAACTACAGCACCTATCAATCCCCCACCCCGTTTTTGTCCTCTTCCCTTGAAATGATTTATTGAAAGATGTCAGTGTGGTCAGTGTGTCTTGCCCTAGTTCAGTGCACCTTTAAGACCTTTTCCATTACAAAGTGAACAAAAAGTGCATGGGCTGGCAAAAATCTTAATAGAGTTGACCATGCTGGACTACGGCATGGTGAACTAGCCCCCTGCCCACACAGTTACTGCTGCTGCGCTTGCTTTCTCTTTGAAAGTGCTTCACTGTGGTGATTGGGTAATTTTTTCCTGCACATGCACGAACCACTTGAAATTGACTCAAGGTGTTTACATGCACCTGAATCGTAAATCATGCTTCCTGATTTTAGATGACCTGACTGGAATGTTTCAGCATATCTCTTGCCTTATTGCCAAATGGTGATGTGCTGTCACACTTAATCATTTGTGTTCAGTGTATTTAACCTAATCATGCCACTGGAATAATGAATTGTAGTATTAGATGTACCAATGCATCAACACAGGTGTGACTGTGGCTCAGAATTACACTGGTCTGACACGACAGCCCTAGAGTATTACAGCCGTTATTTTGAGAGTGTTCTGGTCCCGGTGATGCAGCAGATAGTGGGTTTCCTAATGAGGATCAATGACAGAAACATGAAGAACATGGTGAGCACAGCAACGGTTGACAGAGTGCTGCCAGCCTGAAACCAAACTGAGATTTCCTTCCATTGCAGTCATTTGAAATACAGGAATATAAATCTCCTCAGTGTCAGCTCTCTCCCAGAACTGGGATCTTTCAAAATTCAGAAGTTGGGACAAAGTCTAGTACTGTAATTTGGAATTTTATTTAATAAAAACATAGCCAAGTTGTTGACCAATTTCCTTATAGAGGATAACATCCAATATTCGCAATCACATTTATATATTTTTGGGTGGCATGTGGCTCTCTGGGTTATGACTGGAAGGTTGCTTGTTCGAAGAAGAATGATGTCACCATTGGGTCCTTTAGTGAGGCCCTTAACCCCAATGGCACCAGGCATGCTGGATACGGGCTAACCTTACACCATGACCCAAAAACCTGCTCTCACCTGTATACATGTGTCTGTGAGTTTCATGGAAAGCAAGATAGAATGGGCAAAACATCCAATTTCCCCATGGGTATGAATAAAGTATCACTATTTTATATGGTTCACAATTACGTGAGGTCCAGAACACCTCTTTTGAAGCATGAGGCTTTGGTATTAATTCTTGGATCTATTCCCATCCTTTCAAGTAGCTGTGAGTAACAGGTGAAAGCTGAGTACTTTTCAGTTACCTTTAATTTCCTCCTGGGCCAGTGCAATAAAGGACACAGTTCAGATCTGTATCAATCACCCAGGGAACTAGGTAATGCTAAGTGTCCTTGCTTGTTTCCTCTGACATCACAGAGGTCAGCTGATTGAAATGCAGTTCTAAAACAACGCTTCAAATGAACAGTAAATATCTATCCATCTTTCAACCGCTCATCCTGGGCGGAGCTGCAAGGATTGCTGGGACCCCCCCGCAGTACAAGGAACAGGGCTGGCATACACCCAGGATAGGATGCCAGTACAAGAATTAATTTTACCTTCCCCTGGAGTGGCACACAAAAAATCTTCAGATGCTCATTCTCTGCCACTTTTGACCTTAATGTTGAAATAGCTCTACATAATGTATAACAAGCAGGACAAAGCCTGTTCGATATCCATTTGTCACTACAATTAAATGCATTGCCCCTGAGTCACTATTCATTTCACTGGATAGGCTTTAAATGTAGTCCTACGTTTTTGTGACTGTTTAATTTTCAAAAAGTTCCTTTATGCAACTATGCAACAGACAGGCTTGTTTTATTTCTTGGCCTCTTGTCCATTTTGACCTGCAGTTTTAGCATTTAATTTTTCCATGTAAGCAGGAGTGCTTATAAAGGTGTCAAGGTATTTGACCTTGGGAAGATCTTGTAGATGTGAGAGTAGAAACTCTCAATACTCTAGGGAATATCTCTGTATGAATATATAAACAAGACATTTATAGCCGAGAGCATGCTTTGCATGCAATATAGCATGCTGCAAGTTGCAGTTCCTTTGTAGTGTAAGCAGCCCTGCCGTAAATATGCTTATAAGTGCTCTGCTGTAATGTAGTCGAGTAATTACTATACCAATCCTCTTTCTGCCAGTTATTTTCAGTGTATCAAATCAGCCTCAACCGGCCATCTGGAGATGACGGGAGACAACATTTTATATTGTTCTAAGTGGACAGATTTAGCCCACCGCTCTTGTGTAGTCTTTCCAGTTCTCGGTCAATGTGGAAATTGTTGTATGTTTACACCCCAGCAGTATAGCTGTCTAAATCCAAACATACTGGATTCTTTTCGGACAGCTGAAACACATTTTAAGTGAAGAAAACACTAGGTTACGTAGTAAAAGGCAAATGGACTTTTCTGTAATAATTCGATTTCGACAGACTTGGAATTGTTTTGCAACAGCTTCATATATTAGCGCGCACACATGGATAACAAGAAGCTGACATAACAACAGAATATAAAACTATAGCCCGTCAAATGTAGGTAAGTCGCCCACTACGTACGTCATTACGAGAGTGATTGTCATTGTCTGTGAAAGCCTTTGTTCTGAACTATACTCTTGCACAGTATAACTGTAGCCACTTTCAACCTTGGCAATATGCAACTCAGTAATTGTACTATACGTATTACGCAAAAATATTATTTGTATAAAGATACAATATATTTGAAACGGTCACGTGAACACACAAACATTAATGAATTTTTTTTTTTCGTTTTTAATATAAGATTACCTGACAAAGACAAAATATTCCAGGTTTATAATGTATCCAAGATGTGGTTAATATGGGCAGTGCTATCACCGTATATCTCTGTAACAAACATATTACTTAGGGTGTTTAAATCTTTCATAGCCTATATATAGCCTAAGTACACACGGTACTGTAAATGCAACAGTGCAGTAATGGACACTGTTTCGGAGACTTCTGTAAACATTTTATCACATACTTTAACTTGTACGGCCACAGTTTTTTGGGGGTTTCTTTTAACAGTATAGTGAGAACGTTTATGTTTATTACTACTGTTCAGGCAATGCTACGTAGATAACCTATATATTTTTGTATGGCTGTATTACACAACGCAGTTTACAACTGTTTGAAGTGTAATAATTGGTTAGATTATTATAACATATGTTTTTAAATATAATACAACGTTTATGTTCTTGTAGACTTCATTTAATCTTTAAAACGTCATGGCAATATAGCAGGTACCTCAATCATAGTCGACCAGTAGGGGGCAGTGAACGTTCCCAGGTGCCTGGACAGGAGCTTACAGTACCCCATGCTCACAAGCGTGTGCTCCCATATTCCTCAGCGGAGACACAGTTGAGCGGTCTGGCTGTCACTGCGTAAGAAACAAGTTGCTGGAAAAGGCGGACTGGCTAACGCCGCTTGCGCTCTTCGGTTAGTGAAGCATAAAAGGACGCAGGCTGAGCTGGAGAAGCGCGCAGCAGTAACTCGGAAAAAGCCAAGGACCAAGTCTCATACTGAAAGAGGTGGACCTCGGCAGTGAAAGTGGACCAAACATTAAAAACCGACTTGTAAGCAATGCGCTGTCAGCATGGCCAAATGGTTCAAGGAACACCTGGGATTCAAAACCACCAAAGCGGCACCTCCGGCTCCCCCGAAACCAGACTACAGGCACTGCCATCCCGCTGTGCCAGGTACGCCGGGCTACCAGCAGCCCAGCTCGGGAGCCACCTCTCACTATCCGAGCCCGGCACAACCGGACATCCTAGCTGCGTACAAACTACAGAAAGAGCTGGATTTCGAGGACCCCTACACTGGAGGAGGACACGTCTCCTTCGCAAGCGGCCAGACTTCACTGGGCTCGCCAGACGGAAAGTACTTATCACCAAAACACCGACTTATTAAGGTGGAAACCATCGAGAAAGGCAACTCTAATCCCACCAACGTAGTAACACCGTGTCCATCGCCGTCTCCCGCGACTCTGAAATCTCCCACTTCGCCTCCTGCGGAGCAGGAGAAGGTAAGGCGACTCTCCAGCAATGTTTCTGTACGCCCCCGGAGAACTGTCAAACATTCAGGAGAAACTTTGTGTTAATTGTCGTCTTTTATTTGTAAACACAAGCTGCGCGAGTTGTTTCAAGAAGCGAAACTTACAAAGTAAATTATCTAAACTGTACACAAACAAGAAAAAATATGTGTTAAGAGTCGTTACACGTTTCGTAATGTGGAAATCTGCCAGAAGACTGTCAAAAGGTTTCCGGAGCAGTTCTTTGCCGACTTGAATACGATTTACAAACAAACAAACAAATATGAATCTCTTAGAAATCTTCGGAAGTTAGCAAAAATATTGGGAATCCGATTCGTTTTGCAGGGAGTTTTTGTAAAATTTGTTTACATCACGTGGCAAAGTGGATTAGTGAGTAACACTTTTGTCTGAAACATTCAGCGTTGGGGCTTTAAATCCTGACTCCGTTCTGAGTTTTTAGAGTTTACATGTTCCCCAGGTACTCTGATTTCCACCTGCTGTCCGAAGACGTGCAGTTAAGCTAACTAGCATCTTTATATAGCTGGTAGTGTAGGGTTGAACGTGTGCGTGTGAGCCTGTATGTACCCTGTGATGAACTGGCACCCCACACAGTGCCTATGACTGCACTGCTTGTGGTTAGAACATGGATGAATGGTGAAAAGTCGCCCTGCAACTTCAGTAATGTTTCTGTCTGCAGCAAAGCACTCAACTTAGATACTATTTAATTTCAGTGTACATTTGACAACCCTGATCCTGGAGTGCTGGTATCCAGCAGGTTTTCTGTCCTACCTGATGAGTTACTATCTGCCTGAGATCAGATGCGGTTCATTAGGGACCAGGTATAGGATGGAAAACCTGCTGGATACCAGCCCTCCAGGATCAGGGTTGCCTACCCCGGCATTAGGATCTCTGCTGCCTACCTGTGGTTTCCACTGCTGGGTGTTGCCCATAGGCCACTGAAAGTCCTTCTAATTGATGGAGCTCATTGGCTGCTGCCCAGGAATTGACATGGTTTCCATTATACAGTACCTGAAATAATGTGGCTTGCTGTTTGTATTCCATTCGCACACCAACCTTTAATCTCCCATTAATAGTTACTGAGAGTGAAGCCTAGTATATATTATGTTTGTAACAATGCATTCCAGACAAAATTAAAACATTTATATATATATATATATATATAATATGTATGTATATGTATATATGTGTATATATGTATGTATATGTATATATGTATGTATATGTATATATGTGTATATATGTATGTATATATGTATGTATATGTATATATGTATGTATATATGTGTGTATATATGTATATATGTGTGTATATCTATATATATA